CCCAATAAGAGCAATAAGCACAGCCTGATCACTATAAAAGTTTATATTTTTTATTTTTTTATTTTCTTTATTTTCTGTTTTTGTTTTATTTATATATAAAGAAAACAAACCCTTCGTTGTTTCGCTAGTAACGGTGGCTTGCTGTATATAGGGGGCCCCCAGGGGGCCCCCAAGGGGGCCCCCATGGGGGCCCCCAGGGGGCCCCCAGGGGGCCCCCCTAGAGAAAGAAGAAGCAGCAGCAGCAAACGAACGCAGCATATGAAGGCTCTCATCGCTTGCTGCTCCTGGCGGCAGCCACAGCAGCTGTGCTGCTGCTCCGCTGCTGCTGCTGCTGCTGCTGCTGCTGCTGCTGCTGTTGCTGCTGCCCTGCAGCAGCTGCGGGGGACGCAGAGATTGCAGCAGTAATTCGTTAACTGCAGCAGCAGCAGCAGAACCTTCTCCTGCTGCTGCTGCTGCTGCTGCTGCTGCATCATGCTGCTGGTTTTTGCTGCTGTCTTTCTGCGTTTCTACCTTGCTGCTCCCACTGCTGCTGCTGCTGCTGCTGCTGGTATTATCTGCCCTCTGCTGCTGCTGCTGCTGCTGCTGCTGCTGCTGCTGCTGGAGGCCAACAGCAGCAGCAAAAGGGTCAGCAGCAAGAAAAGGAGACAATCCCCCTTTGTGCTGCAGCGGCAAAATACTGAGGAGAAGAGAAAGGAGACTGTTGGTTTGTCTCTTTTCGCTTCTTATAAAGGAGACAAAAGAATAACAACACCCCACACGTACACCCCGCAGCAAGTTCAATGCACCGCCAACAGACAAAGGCTCTGCAGCAAACAGAGCAGCAGCAGCAGCAGCAGAAGCAGCAGCAGCAGCAGCAGCAGCAGCAGCAGAAGCAGCAGCAGCAGCAGGAGCAATAGGAGATGCAGCAACGACTTCAACAGAAACAGTATAAGCAGCAACTGTTACAGCAGCAGCAGCAATAACAGCAGCAGCAGCAGCAGCAGCAGTAACAGCAGCAGCAGCAGTAACAGCAGCAGCAGCAGCAGCAGCAGCAGTAACAGCAACAACAGCAGCAAAAGCAGCAGCAACAACAGCAGCAGGTGGTTGTTTTTGTGTTTTATTTGTTATCGTGTGCTGAGGTGTATATGCAGCTTAAATTTATATTATTCTTGCCTGGCGTTTCTATTTGCTGCTGCTGTTGCTGCTGCTGCTGTTGCTGCTGCTGCTGTTGCTGCTGCTGCTGTTGCTGCTGCTGCTGCTGTTGCTGCTGCTGCTGCTGTTTATTTGTTTTATATTTATATGATTGATTAAGAGAAGCAAAAAAACGAAGAACAGAAGGAGGAAGACGCAGTGCATGCAAAGGTGTATCCATCTCGCTGCTGCTGCTGCTGCTGCTGCTGCTGCTGCTGCTGCTGCTGCTGCTGCTGCTGCTGCAGGGTTGCTGCCGCTGCTGCTCTATCATACACAAAGCAGACATACACAGCTGCAGCCCGCGAAAGGCAATTCGTTTCAACAGAGGTTCTTCTTCCTCCTCTTCTGCTGCTGCTGCTGCTGCTGCTGCTGCTGCTGCTGCTGGTGTTCCTGCTGCTGCTGCAGCTGGTGCTGTTGCTGTTGATGCTGCTGCTGCAGGCAGTGTTGTTGCTGCTGGTCCTACTGCAGGAACAGCAGCAGCAGCAGCAGCTGCTGCAGTTCCTTCTGCTGCTGGAGCACCAGCTACATCTGCAGCAGCATCTGCATCTGCAGCAGCAGCAGCAGCAGCAGCAGCAGATGCAGCAGCAGCAGCAGCAGCAGCAGCAGCAATATGATTAGAGAAAGTAAGAATAAGAATAGTAAACAGCAAAGCCTCAGCATAAAGCTGCTGCAGCAGATACAAATCAAAGCAACAATGAATATCTATAAAGACAGAAACATATATTATTTTTTTATAATACTGCAGCAGCAGCTGCTGCAGCATCTCAGCTACTGTTGGTCCTGCTGCTGCTGCTGCTGCTGCTGCTGCTGATGGTGGTGGTGATGGTGATGGTTGTTGCTGCTGCTGCTCTTCTCTTTTGCTGCTGTCTGTTCCTTCTATGGGTTTAGAATCAACACCCTCCAGCTGCTGCTGCTGCTGCTGCTGTTGCTGCTGCTGCTGCTGCAGTAGTAGCAGTTGCTGCTGCTGCATTTGTTGTTTATATACAAGCATGAGTATCTGCTGCTGCTGCTGCTGCAGCTGCTGCTCCAGCTGCAGGCGAAACGCATGCAGCTGCTGCAGCCACAGACGCACACACAGCAGCGGGGGAGGAGCAGCAACTTGCTGCAGCTTCTTTCCTGCTGCTGCAACAAAGTTAAGATAAGTAGAAGCAGCAGCAGCAGCAGCAGCAGCAGGAGAAGCAGCAGCAGCAGCAGCAGCAGCAGCAACTCTTGTTGCTGGTAGCTGCTGCTGATGCTGCAGTGCTTCTGCTGCCTCCAGCAGCAACACCACTTCTCTCTGGCTGCGGGGATCATACAAATTCAAAGGCTTTCCTGCTGCTGCTGCTGCTGCTGCTGCTGCTGCTGCTGCTGGTGCTGCTGCTGCTGCTGCTGATGATCCAGCAGCAGCAGCAGCAGCAGAGACAAACCCATCCTCCCTCCGCAGGTGATGCAGAACAGGAAGTGCTGGTGGTCTCCACACCTCGATTGCTGCTGCTGCTGTTGCTGCTGCTGCTGCTGCTGTTGCTGCTGTTGCTGCTGTTTCTGCTGCTGCTGCTGCTACTTCCTGCTGCTGCAGCAACAGCTGCTGCTGTTCGCTGGTTTGCTGCTGCGTTTCTTCAGCTGCTGCAGTGTCTTCTTGAACGTCAACAGCAAAGCTGCTGCTGCTGCTGCTGCTGCTGCTGCTGCTGCTGCTCCTGCTGCTGCTGCTGCTTTTGCTGCTGCTGCTGCTGCTGCTGCTGCTGCTGCTGTTTTGTTGGTGCTGCTGCAGAGCTTCTCTCCTGAGAGCGGAGACAACCGCCCAAAGAGCAGCAGAGTTTACATCTGTGTCTGCGTTTGCTGCTGCTGCTGCAGCAGCGCTGCTGCTGCTGCGGTTGCTGGTGTTTATTTGGGGTGTATATACAGCTGAGAGGAGAGAAGGACAATCAACAAGAATAGATGAAGCTAGCAGAGTTGCTGCTGCAGCAGCAAACTGGCGGTGACCCGGGGGGCCCGGGGGCATCGGTAGAGAAGCGAGATCCTCATCACTCA